AATTTAATAATAAAGATTCTCATAAAGGAGAAGTTTTAAATAAAATATCAATTTAATTAAAGCATTAACTTTAATGTCAATTAAACTTAAAGTCAATAATATCTATCTACAATAGTCCCCCCTTATCCTTGGGGGATACATTCCAAGACTCCCAGTGGAAGCCCGAAAACACAGATAGTACTGAACCCCGTATATACTATGTTTTTTCCTATACATACAAACTTATGCTAAAGTTTAACTTATGTTAGGCACAATAAGAGATTAACAAGAATAATAAAATAGAACAATTATAACAACATACTGTAATAAAAGTTACCATAGATCTTAGCAACCTCAGCATACAATTTTTTTTCTTTCCTTACTAAGTTGAGAAGTTTCACCTTGTCACTTAAAGGAAGCACTTTACAGCTTCTCTTTGGCACATCAGAATTGCCAGCATCACTACTATTGCACTTTGGGGCCACTATTAAGTAAAATAATGGTTACTTGAACACAAGCACTGCGATATTGTGACAGTAGATATGAAAACCCAGACGGCTACTAAGTGACTAATGGGCAGGCAGCGTATATACAGCGTGCACATGCTGGACAAAGGGATGATTCATATCCTGGGCGGGATGGAGTGGTAAGGTATGAGATTTCATCACGCTACTCAGAATGGTGCGAGTGCAACTTAAAACTTATAAATTGTTTATTTCTGGAAATTTCCATTTAATATTTTTGGACCTCGGTTGACCATGGGTAACTGAAACCACAGAAAGCCAAACCATGGATAAGGAGGTACTATTGTATATCAAAACTCTTACCAAAGGCAATAATGACAAATAAACAGGATCTTGATTTCAACAGGAAATAAATCTATTTTATTTTGGTCAGGCTGATACTCAAGTTTAATTTTCTCAGTTGAGGTCAGTGTTACTGAACTGAGATAACATCTAATTTTAAGTGTATCTGAAAGGTTGGACTCTTCAACATAATTAAAATTTCCTGATTATTTTCACAAGACACTGAAGCTTAATGTTTTATAATTTTATTTATTTATTTTTTCCCCCAAAGCCCCAGTAGATAGTTGTATGTCATAGATGCACATCCTTCTAGTTGCTGTATGTGGGACGCAGCCTCAGCATAGCTGGACAAGCAGTGCGCCAGTGCACGCCCGGGATCCGAACCCAGGCTGCCAGCAGTGGAGCGCGCGCACTTAACCACCAAGCCACGGGGCCGGCCCCTAATGTTTTAAAACCAGTCTGTGGCAGCTACTTCTCAGAAGAATCTTTAGAAAGGGATTACAGCAATATTTCACAAGCAATTTGACTATACGACCTACTGTCATTCCTTTCCAGGCCTACAATTCTTGAAATATTACTCTGTATATTATTTTCTACTTATACGTTTTTTGAACAGATATAATTTTTTAAAAATTATAGTATTGGGCTGTAAACAGAGAATCTTATGGAAATCTTCAGCAAAAGTTAACTTGGGGACTTGGGGATGCAAAGTTTAATATTTAGGAATTTTTTTTTGACATGTCACAAACTCCAAACCATATAGAAACAAGAAATTATATACATATCAAAACTTATACGCATAAAAAACATAGAGCAAAAATATCATTAAGTCCTTAATTTGGACACAAGAATGAAATGGGCTCTGCTGTTTTCATTAGGTGATCCTCTTTTACTTAAAAGCAAGAGTCTAAAAGTCTGTTGCTGGCACTTAAAATCCTCCATACTCTGGTCTGAATCTAATTTGCCAATTTTGAATCTTATTGTTCTCCAAGAACACCACCTACTTCAGTCATACTGGTTACTCAGTTATCTCGCAAACTCAACAAGCTCATGATACCTTTGCTCATTCAGGTTCCCTCATCCAGAATGTGTTCCCTTCTCTCCATCCATGTTAATCCTACACATTCTTAAAGGCCCAGCTTGTTTTACTGCCTTCTATTCTTCCCCAGATTATTCCAACCCATGATGATCTCTCCTTCCTCCAACTCCTTCGGCTTTTACTGTTCTAACATGGAGAAACTTGCTGGGTTTTTTTAATTGTTGTTCACTTCTTTAAAAATCTTTTGAATTGTGAAATATAATGCACACACAGAAGAGTGCACGGAAGTGAAAAGCTCAGTGAATTATCCCTAAGTGAATATCTATGAAATTTCCCCCAGTACAGAAACAGAAGACTGTTAGTACTTAGAAAGCCCCCTCATGCTCTTTTCTAATCAAACACCCCCTGCCCATCCCCCACAAAAAGGTAATCACTATCCTAACAATTATGGTAATCCTTTTCTTGCTTTTCTTTATAGTTTTACCACCTAAATATGCAACCCCAAACACTACTGTTTAGTTTTTTGAATTTTATATACATGAAATCATACAGTATGTATTCTTTTGTGTCTGGTTCCCTTTATTGAACATTATATAAGAATCATACATGTTTTCTAATAATGTTCATTTTCATTCTGTACAGAAAATATATTTATACTCATTTAAATAAATGAATGATTCAGTTTTATCCATTCTGCTGTTGAGGGACCTTTGGGTTACTTAACTCTTAAAAAGTATCTATATCTTGTCTCTCCAGCTAGAATGCAAGCTCTTGAGGGCAGGGACCATATATTATACTATTTTCTATTTATCTTAGTTTTCGCATAATGCTAAGCACATAATGAGCGTCCCTGATCACACTAAATATTGATTAAATCAATCTACAAGTAGTTTGGGAGATGAGAAGAAAATAAGTAGTGCTGGAAATCAATGTAATATTTTTAGAGACAATTATGTAACTGGCATTTTGGAACAACTGCTACTACTTTAATAAATCAGAAGGTTTGACCTCTCCTATTTATTTACACCTAAGAATTTATCATTTCTTCTTCTTCCTGAGCCAACTAAAAGCCAAAAACTTAATTTATCAACTACCTTCAAAAATAAAATTAGAGGGCCGGCCCCGTGGCTTAGCGGTTAAGTGCTCGCGCTCCACTGCTGGCGACCCAGGTTCGGATCCCGGGCGCGTACCTACGCACCGCTTCTCCGGCCATACTGAGGCCGCGTCCCACATACAGCAACTAGAAGAATGTGCAGCTATGACATACAACTATACACTGGGGCTTTGGTGGAAAAATAAATAAATAAGATTTAAAAAGTTTAAAAAAAATAAAATTAGAACAATTCGAAAGGTGGTTAATTATTTTTTTTTTTATTTTTATTTATTTATTTTTCCCCCCAAAGCCCCAGTAGATAGTTGTATGTCATAGCTGCACATCCTTCTAGTTGCTGTATGTGGGACACGGCCTCAGCATGGCCGGAGAAGCGGCGCGTCTGTGCGCGCCCGGGACCCGAACCCGGGCCGCCAGCAGCGGAGTGCGCGCACCCAACCGCTAAGCCACGGGGCTGGCCCAAAAGGTGGTTAATTATTATCTGCCCATCTTTGTACAGTATGTCACCAATATGTTGAGTACCCACTACGATTCATAGGTCTAGATGAGCTCCTTTATTTTTTATTCTGTTGCTTTAAGTTTATATTAACTATTCACTATTATAAATTTAGAAACACATGAAGACATGTGCAAAGGCAGTTTCTCTGCAGAACAGAAACAAAAATTCTATTATCTAGAGTCAGCAGGAAATTAATCATTCCTATTCAAAACTAAAGCAAACCAAATAGCTTTTTAGTTCTAATATGCTCTTCTACAGTCAGTGAATGTTTCCTAGGTACTATGTAAACATCTCAAAACAGTATTTATACCACCTAATCTTCAGACCTACTCTGACATTCTCTTGAAGAATCAGTTTTGCTTTTTCTTTTGTTTGACTTTTATAAAACCAGAGCCTCATCAACTTTCTCAGCAAAGAGGAAAATATATTTCCGGGAAAAATTTTGGCCAAGCACATATGGGCATTTCTCTAATATTAATTTTAACAATACACAGGCTATAACAAGTCTTGTAAAGAAAATAAATTTAAAGTCTAAGAAACAAGGGTATTCTCAAGTTGAGGAATCAATGTAGAAAAGAAGAGATGTTATGTAGCTGATAACATCCATATGATAACATCTGTATGTAGCTGATTCATTTCTAGCTAAGGACAATTATCAAAGCCAAATTTAGTATTTTTTTAATATAAAGTAACATTTTAATTTGGTAAGTTTTCAAAACTGAGGCCAATAACAAATATGCCTTTATTTTATTTTTTTGTATTTATTGAAGACTTTCTAGGAAAGGAAGTAGATTGTTTAAAATACTACTTTTATATATCTTCATAACCTCTTCATGAGGGAAGAAAGTGATGGGAAAACACAATAAAAAGTTAATTTAAAAACAAAGGATAATGTATATTACTGGTAGAAAAGCCAAGAATATTTTGTTATATCACAAGAGTTGCTATCTCAAGACTAATTCTATTATAAAGCAAATGTTCTATTAATAAGGGAAAACTTGGAAAGAAAGGGAAAGCTGAAATTAATTTAAAAACTTTCTAAAATTAAAATAATCCTCATCAATTGTTGATATTTAACTTGCAAAGATGCACAGAATAAAATAAAAAAGTTATTTCTACTATAAGTAACTTACCCACTGTTTACTTTTGTAAGCCAGCTAATCATATTATGTTCCTTGTCTTTTCGTTTAAAAGACTTTTTCTCCCCCAAGCTCAAGAAGACTTCAATGTGTGGGCCTATTTTCTTAGTTTAATAAGAGGTTATTTCATCATCAATCTCACTTGGGAAACTACAAGTAGAACACTTGACACTGTGTTATATCCTCTCTTGTATCCTCTAAAATTTTGGAATAATTTTGTAATTAAATTACACTTCAAGTAATTATACTTCTGGATTTTACCTCCCAAGTATCAGCCACCCTCCCAAACTTCCCTATCTCCCAGATGGCTAGAGCACAGTTCTAAGGCCAACTTAGCATTAATGATAATATTCTATCAGATTACTTCCTTAAAACATTCTAATTTTTAAGAGTCTTTGAGACAGCCTAGCAAACCCAACTGCATTACCTCTTTATCTTTTAGTCCCAGGAGCAGTACTTCTTCCATAAGGGTGAGCCGGATATCCTTAGAGTCTCCAGAGTCTTCATTATCTGGACTCCTGTCTTGATTAGTGTCTTCCTCACTTTCCACCTTCTTTTCAGAGTTCTTGCCTACTTCAGTGCGACGGGCTCGGTGAGTTAAAGTGGTCATTCTCACCTGTTTCTGGAGGCGGTGATGAAAAAATATCTATATGTGTGCTTATGTAAATAAACACATATAGATATTCATACATGCATACTAAAAATGTATACAAATAAGAAATATTTACAAACTTAAAGAAAGAAAGAAAGGAAGGAGTAATGACCAGAAAAATCAGGTGGGTAACACAATATCTTTTCCAAAGTACAATAGCTTGAACTCCACAGAAGGCATTGACAAGAAATTAAATCAGTTCTTTTAACAACTAGTAGAAATGATTATCTTTTAAGCTCGCTGATTTCTTGTGCATAATCTATAACCCAGGAATGAATGTCCATCATTGTGACTCCTCTTTCACAAAATGGATCCTCCCCAAGTTAAATAGTATGGGACAGCAAAAATTGTGAGCATCCAGCCCCAAAACACATACAATATATATATATATTTTTTTGCTGAGGAAGATTCACCCTTAGCTAACATCTGTTGCCAATCTTCCTCTATTTTGTATGTGGGTCGCCGCCACAGCACGGCTGATGAGTGGCGTAGGTCCGTGCCTGGGATCTGAACCCGCAAACCTGACCTGCCAAAGTGGAGTGTGCCGAACTTAACCAGTAGGCCACCAGGCTGGCCCCAAAATGCATATAAAAATTTATATATAATTTCTGTAAACATTCAATGTACATTATACAACATACACAGAAAATAGAAAGTAAAAAAATAAAGAAAAACTAAATAGAAATACATGTTCTACTATTTTCTTCCCATACCCTAATGACTCATTTCATGTACCCACTTTGGAGAGCACCAGTCTAGAGAACAACACTCAGAAAGATCATATGTAGTAATTCTACATAGCCAGAAAACTTTCATCTCTATCCCTAGCTAGCTATCTTGCAAATACACAAACAGCTGCCAATAAAAAGTACTGGCAAGAGGATATTAAAAGATTAGCAAATTCTTTCTCAATTACAAAAAATCAAAGCACATGCCATTTTACACCATGCACTACAGTTGTTTTAAAAATCTACAATTAGGGGCTGGCCTGGTGGTGTAGTGGTTAAGTTTGAGCGCTCCGCTTCGGTGGCCTGGGGTTCGCAGGTTTGGATCCTGGGTGCGGACCTACAAACCACTCATCAAGCCATGCTGTGGTGGCATCCCAAGTACAAAATAGAGGAGGATGGGCACGGATGTTAGCTCATGGCCAATCTTCCTCACACGGACACAAAAAATCTACAGTTAAGAGAAATTGCACTAAATCATCTGTGATAAAGTTTCAAGTTAGCATACTTTATTTTAGATAAATGTAAATGCCAGTTTTTAAGATGACAGACAATAAATATTTTAAATCAGCAATTACTTAAAAGAATATCTTTTTCAAGATCAAAAGAATGCATTCAAGAGCTTTTGTGACTGGATCTCATTCTACCTTCTAGCAATATTTCCCATTACTCCCAATTATGTACTGTTAACAACTAATTTCTCCAACACATCCCATGCCTTCCATCTCTGCTCCTCTGTACATGCTGGAGTTCTCTCTTTTCCTTTCCTCTCTAAATTGTACCCATTCTTCAAACGCCTATTGAGGACCCACTTTAAAGCCTTAAGTGAATCTCCTTCTCCATTACCCATATGTCCCATGGCCAGAATTGGTTTCTCCCTCAGCTGTACTTTCACAGAACTTTATTTATACTTACTTCCTTTAAAGTATTTATTATTGTCTTTCTTTTGGTATGGCTGTCTCTCAACTGTAAACTTCTTGAGGGCAAGGATATTGTCTTCTTGGGTTTTTATATTCTCCATAGCAACTAGCACAATGTCTTTAACGTTGTAACTGCTCGATAAATATATACTGATTAAAATGAATATTCAGAAATGCATGTGAACATTTAAAATAAAAATACAAATGAAGTGACTTGCAAAAGATTCTTTGTACAAGGCTATATTTCAAATACAATTCTTGGTGAGAGGTGGGAAGTAGAGTGAAGGAGGAAGAAAACCATGAAATAAACGCTTAAGAGCACTAAACCTATTTGGCACTGCCAATACGGCTTATTTGCTAACCCAATCCAAGAAACTTTACATCTTGGGGGATAAAAAATAAAGGGGAATTTTTTTTGAGGAATTGACGCCCCTCGGACATTTACTAGTAAAAAATCCTATTTGAAAAAAAACAAATGGCCAAAAAATTAAGTAAATAAAAATCTCCCTCTCTCCATAAAGTAAAAAACTTGGAGATTTTTTTGGACGTTAGGAAATGTATTTCCCCCGTTGCTTACCTTACGTTACTTCTGGGTTATGGCCGGACGCAGGCTGCAGTTTGCAGTCTATTCTAGGGGACACCTGTCCCCCCCTCCCCCCACCCCCGTCCTAGTAGGTGAAAAACTTCTCAGCCACGCAGAGAACACAAACTTCCTGATCGTTCGATGCAGAAAAGGAATAACACATCAGCGTCCTCAGAATCGCTAGGCAACCTATCTTGGTGTTTCTTCATAGGACCAATCAGAAACCGCCAAGGTTGAGCCTAGCCAATCGCAGCTTACAAGGGGAGGCTCTCCCCCCGCTATTGTGTTGCGATCCAGACAAACACCACCAAAAGGAGGCAGGTTTGGGTTAAATCTGACAGCTGGTCAATCCAATGAAGGAAACTTGGTAAGAAGAGAGGAAAAAGCGCTGCGCTCCCCACCCCCATTAAACCGGCCAATCAAAGCGTTCCGTTAACTAGCACCAGCTGCCGATCTACAAAGGTTTCTGTTGGTCAGTCTCAGTGTAGCAGGTGTGTTACCGTAGCAGTGTATACTGGGACAATTAGGTGAGACGTGTTGGGATCCAAAAGAGCTAAGAATAAATAACATTTTAAAATTGGTTATTTTCAACAATTAGCTTATCCCTAACTTTCCTATTCCAGAAAAAACCTGATCTAGTGTCAGCTTGTGGATGTTTATTTGGTTTACATTAAACAGGATAGGTACATTTCTACCATCGCATACATACCAACATTCGCTATTAGTGCCTGCTACTGGCAAACTCATGGATAATGTATGTTTTTAGAATATGGCTGCTGAAACTGCAGGAGGCACAGACCAAGTGTTAAGTATTCCTTTTCTAAAGCAAAGCAAACTGTCAAGGCTGGAACCAGGTCCGATTTCTCACTAAAAGCACAGTATCGTTCTAAGAAGTGAGCTCAACTCTTGCAAAGTAACATCTACCAAAATGATATCAAAATTAGTGCCTAAGCATTTTCTGTTAATTAAATAAAAATGAGAAGTCATGAAAGAGTCTAAATGCTGAACATTTTATTTATTCTGCCAAAAATGCCAGACTTTAAAAATCAGTCATCATTTTGTCTTGTAGTAAAAAATCTTTTTAAAAAAAGTAAAACACCATTTTTTAATTGTACATTATATATTATCATGTTAATACACTCTATCAAAGTACTGAAGAACATTGTTTTAATAACAACACAATGACAAACAGCCAGTGAAAGGTATAGTTTTAACAAGTAAAAAGTGAATTCCTACCAAAATTTAATACCAAAATAAACATTATGTTTCAAAAAATGGCTTTAGAGGGCCTTAAAAGTTAATATATGTTTAAAGGAAGTGTCCACCAACATGGAAGATAGATCAATATTGAATAGATAATGAACAGAATCAATTATGACACTGGTACTTTTGGTTTTATTCAAAAGTTCTCTTGGATATGTCTCAGATAAGATTAAGGATCACAATATGATAGTCAGCTAAGAATTCATTTTAGTGTACTAACTGCTTAAGACTACATATAAGTTTTCAGAGGTCGGGCAAACACACCTTAAAATAGTAATACAGTGTCCTTTAATTTAAATGCAGAAGAAAAAACATAATTTTTATATGTGTTCCTTTGGTTCACTAAACTTTCTTCTTTTTGGCACTGACTCTTGACTAGAAGAATCAAAGTGATGAAGGACCTGTCAAAAGAAAACAGCTACTAAGAATAGATAATTTCCAGTTTAAATGTCTTTAATTTTAGATCTTTTTCACAACTGTGAGGTTTCTTTCTTTCTTTTTATTTTAAATTACACCTAGCATAGCTGTTTCCCACTAAGATATGATACTGGGTTCTTTAAAAGTAGAGTAAATTTTATTATTGATATATATCTTCTGATGGCTGCTGAAAGTATACACTTGCAAAGTATAAGGTCTTCTTTAGGGTTGTTGGAGTAGTTAGAAAGATAGATTTAACATTATGTCCTCAAAATAGTAAAATATTTTGGAGGGATAGGAGAGGAAAAAAGATTTAAAAATGAGCTGCAAATAGAGAAATGTTCTACCTTGGCACCAAGAAGGATTTAAATCATGTTTTGTTTTTGTATCCCTGGTACTTAGCAGTGCCTGATAGATATTAGACATTCAATGCACACTTTTGAATGAATGAGAGGATGAATTAGGAAAATTCCTAACAAAATTCCCTGAGTTACTGAACTTTGATTTTTCTGGAAAAAAACTCAGTAAAGATACAAATTGGATTATGATTTTGCAAAAAAATCAAGGCTTAATACATTGGGAAAAATTTAAAAACCTATTAAAGAAATGTCAGGTTATTCCATTCCCTTCTTAATATATGTAAATTGAAAATAGTACTAGGGGTCAGCCCAGTGGCATAGTAGTTAGGTGCTCACAGTCTGCTTTGGCGGCCCAGAGTTCGCGGGTTTGGATCCCGGGAGCGGACCTACACACCGCTCACCAAGCCATGCTGTGGTGGCGTCCCACATACAAAATAGAGGAAGACTGGCACAGATGTTAGCTCAGGGCCAATCTTCCTCACCAAAAAGAAAAAAAAAGAAAGAAAAAAAGAAAATAGTATTAACCAACTACATTTTTGAGATTACTCCTTTAACATTTGATTTGTAAAAATAGTCAAGTTTTCAGTTGTCTAATTTAAACCTACTAATAATACTAAAAATTCTAGTTGAAAAAATATAAATATTTATCTCAGAAACGACAAATACATTATCTGATTTGGTAAAATAGGGTTCCAAATATAAAACAACTGTCATAGGATTTAGGTCAGGAAAATTGTACTAGTAGGGGATGCTATATTTTTAGGAAACACATGGATTTGGTAACTTATCTTGTTTCTACTTTAGTTTTGATCTCTAGAAAGCGCAAATCAAATCTGTGGCCCAATTTTAGCTCTATGTAAATAAGATGGCCTGAATATTCTTATACTTCTCATTCTATTCATATTTTTCCTGACACTGGTTTTTATTTATTTTATAAACTCCTCCAACTACTTCAAATCATTCATGGAATCAGACGGTAAGAATTTACATGGAAAAAATTAATAAACCAACATAGTGCATCTTATTTTAAAGTCATCCTGTTTTTTAGAACCAAATATATTTAAATAAGATTTGGATATCAGAGCTCTGAGGTATATTCAGGGATATTATTATATTTATCATTTTAAATTTAATCTACAGTAATAATATTATGATACTTGCCATTTTGTTCAACCTATATATTATCATAAGACTTACTGTTTTCCCAGATTCGAGTTGACTTCTCTTCCGATTTTCTTTAGAAGATTTTACTGGTTGATTTCCATTAGCCTTCACAAAGACAAAATAATTACTAATTGGTTATTTCTCAAAGAATAACCAACACTTGATTTTCCAACTATAGGCAACTATACGCAGTTTTTTAAAAAACAGCTTTACTGAGATAGAATTCAGATACCATACGATTCACCTATTTAAAAGTGTACAATTTAATGATTTTAAGTATATTCACAGAGTGATGCAACCATCATCACAGTCAATTTTAGAACACCTTCATCACTCTGAAAAGAAACCCATGCCGTTATAGCTATCACTCTCCTATTCCCCCATCCCCCACCAGCTCTAAGACTTTCTGTCTCTATAGAAATCCCTATTCTGAACTTTCATACAAATGGAATCACCTAATATGTGGACTTTTGTGACTGGCTTCTTTCACTTAGAATAATGTATTCAAGGTTCATCCAAGTTGCAGCATGGATCGGTACTTCATTCTTCATTGCTGAATAATATTCTATTGGATGGCTATACCATATTTTGTTTATCCATTCATCTGTTGACGGACATTTAGCTTTTTCCCACCTTTTGGCTATGGTGAATAATGCTATATATGCAGTATTTTAAATGAATATTGGATGACAACAAATTACTAGCTGTCATATAACTATCCTCTAAAAGGACATATTGCAGTCGCTTGGCTAGCTCAGTCAGTACAGCATGAGACTTAAATAGACATAATTATTTTCTGATGCTTGAAATGTACTTTTCAATGATAGCCTCTTTAGTATATACACTATTGAATATTTTTATTTTTTGCTCTTTCCTAACCATAGTTCAGTCATGATTCTCAAATTGAGGATTACTTTGGTGGAGAGGTCATATCCAAAAACATGGGCAATTTCAGAAAGTGAATTTATGTCCTCAAAGCATCTTTTTTTTTTTTTTTGTGAGGAAGATCAGCCCTGAGCTAACATCCATGCTAATCCTCCTCTTTTTGCTGAGGAAGACCAGCTCTGAGCTAACATCTATTGCCAATCCTCCTCCTTTTTTTTCTCCCCAAAGCCCCAGTGGATAGTTTATGTCATAGTTGCACACCCTTCCAGTTGCTGTATGTGGGACACAGCCTCAGCGTGGCCAGAGAAGTGGTGCGTTGGTGCGCGCCCGGGATCCAAACCCAGGCCGCCAGTAGCGGAGCGCACACACTTAACCACTAAGCCATGGGGCCAGCCCCCCCTCAAAGCATCTTAATGTTACAAGGAAATCTTGCCTAATAATTTTTTTTAATGCTTGCTTTTCTCTCTATATCCTAGTAAAGGATACTCATCCTAAATAGAAGCTGCCTAGGAAGAACATTTTGCTGTTAGAGGTACTAATTTTTGAAATTCTTTTTTTATTTTTATTTTTTGTGAGGAAGATCACCCCTGAACTAACATCCATGCCAATCCTCCTCTTTTTTTTTTGCTGAGGAAGACTGGCCCTGGGCTAACATATGTGCCCATCTCTTTCCACTTTATATGGGACTCCGCCACAGCGTGGCCTGACAAGTGGTGCATTGGTGCGGGCCCGGGATCCGAACCCAGGCCGCCAGCAGCGGAGCCCGTGCACTTAACCGCTAGGCCATGGGGTCGGCCCCTTGAAATTCTTTTATCTCTTGCTTTCATCAGCATACTAGTTTGAAGCTGCCTTCTGCCAGTTCTAACATCCCATTGAAAATGTGGAAAAAAATGACACCTAAAAATGGCACTACAATTAGTGATGTGCTGGTAAATGTTTAACAACAAGTTCTCTGGGAGAAACAAATCCTGAGTTGAGGCATTTGCTGATTTCTATGCTTTGAATACTCTCATCATGTCCAATTTCAAGCCACCAATATGATGTCACTGAATTAGGAGTTGGGAAGAAACGCTCCAGCATACCACTGTTAGCGTGTTATTTTTTTCCTAACTTTGGATATAATATTTTACACATTTTACAGAATGCTTTTTCTTCACCCCCTAACCTTTGAGAGTAACTTAAAGGTCTAAAATAAAATATGAATTTCTATTTAGTACAATTCATACCAAAAACTAAAATAAAGCAGTGGCTTTTTTGCTTAAAAAAATGAGATTCATTTTATGCAAGATAAATACAAAACATTCATTTTTAATGTCTTATTAACAAGATAATCCATTTACAAGATAGAACATGGGAACATTTTGGCATTCTAGGACATTTCTTTGGGAGTCTGAATGATAGTGTCACTTCTCAAAGACTTTCTTGGATTCCTCTCTCTAACGTCCCTT